CCCAGGCCTCCGTCTCCTGATTTATAAAATGATGGGAATGTGGGCTTTGATTAAGACCCTATGATTGCCTTCTAACTGCTTCCCCCATCCCCTGAACAATGCTGCATAAAAGAGGGCTCAGTAAATAACTGCTGAGTAAACAACTGAGCTGAGGTACTGCCAGGGGGCCTTCCTTACGAATAATAAAGTTCCAAACCCTCCCATGTTTACTCAGCAAAGGTGATGGGCACGGAGAGATGACCCCAGATTTCACATCCCACCAGAGCATCCTCACCTGGAATCCCACTGTCAGGGCCATGTTGCTCCCCACTGGTGTTCTAGACCCAGAGTGAGCTCAAATCCCCTCTCCCACTGGCTCCCTCAAAGTTACCCAGGCAGGTTAAGGGGAAACACATACAGAAGATTCTGAGCCACTGGACAAGACCCCAGGCTCTGACCATGCTGCTGGGAGGAAGCAACAGACTCCCACAGCTCAAGAGGCTGATTCACTCCTGGAGGAACTTGTTGAGGCCCCTGCTCCTTAGTCCCCAGCTGGCTGCCCTATGACAACACCATCTGATATCTACCACTCGAGAGTTCAGTCACCACCACCCCAGGGAGAACTGCAGGGCTCCCCTCAGGTCCAACTCCCAGTTAGTCATGCTCCCCCAGGCCCTGCCCCTTGCCTGCACATGGGATGAGCCCTGGTGCCTCCCAGCTCCACTCACACTGCAGCTGCCACACACAGTGTCCTCAAGATCTGCAACAGACATGCAGTTGGCCAGGGCTGGAGGGGGCATCTGCCCAGCTGTGTACTTCTCTGAGGACAGAGGTCTCAAACCACTATAAATCTCAGATGTCCTCCTCCAAACAAAAGCTCACAAGGTCATCTGGTTTACTAAAACCCAGAGGCAGAGCTAGTCCAGTTGAAGCAAAGTAAGGGTCCAAGTGCAACCCCTCACCCCTGGCAGCCAAGCCACGGGGGCACCTCAGCATAGCCTTAGGCTCCTGCCCCAGAGAGGTCTGAGAACTATGATCTGGGGTTCTTGCTCACTTTAAACCCCCTAGTAAGACAACTCCATCAACCCAGCTGTCTATACAACTCCCCGCCCCAACCAAGCAGCTCACTATATCCACCCTGCCCCCATTTCCCCCAGCTTCTCCACAATTCTATGGAGGAAGAGCCAATATCTGACCCCCAAGGCCTGCCTACACTTCCCAGCCAACCAGCTTCCACATGGACAATGCCCTGTGTCTCCCTAAATTCAGGAGAAGATATCCAACCATCACAAGGACCCTCCCCTGAAAACTCCTGGAAAGCAGAGACCCTGGGGTAAAGGGTTTGTGAAGATTAGGGATCCTGTTGAGAGGAAGTCAGGTACAGGGGGGCTTGGCTGGGCAGTCTAACACTCTCAATGACCTCCCCACCAAGTGCTATAGATAGCTGTGAGCCAGGAATTGAGCTCAGGGGCCTCTCACACACAAGGGATTCCCAGACCTCTCACTCGGTCCCAGTCTGCTCTAGGTGCCCCAAGCCTTCCCTGGACACTCATTAAGACTGTTCTATCCTGCAGTGAATTCTGGGGCCCTTGCCTATTGCTCTGGGCTGACACCTGCCTGGGCCCCATCTCCTTTGTGGCCCTACAATCTGAAGGAAGCTCAGTTCCCTAATGCGGCTTCCAGAAGACCTCTCCTTCCTGGGGCTCAGGGGGGTGATCTCCTCCTGTCCAAGGACTCTACCTCCTTGGACTCTGGTGGAGCAGCCTGACAAAGCTGGGGCATCTTCCACAGAAAATGACAGCCACATGGTACCCAGGCACCCCTCACACAGAAGCTGTCCCAGATTGCTCTGCCTGGAGCCCCCGGGTGGTTTATGTGAAGAAAGGCAGAGTTCTAGCCCTTATGGCTCAGGTTGCCAGGCTGCCAAGCTGGATAAGGCTGGCCAGATCACAAAGCTGGGATCTATACATCATTCTAGAATCCCCACAGAAACGTGACAAATGCTTCTCTTTGGGTTCCTTACAGTGACCCCCAGGACCTTTCTGTCCCATGAGGTCAATCCTGCCCCAGTCTCAGGCACATTTGCAGCTGCCAGGACAGCAGCTACTCTCCACCTCCCTCACCCAAAGCTCTGAGACTATTCACCCCTGCCCCAGCCTACCAAGCCCTCCCTCCCATCCTTCTGGCAGCAGGGCTACTGGTCTCCCTTACCCCTCACCCCTCCTGAATCAGAAAGCCGATGGTTGCCGTCATTCCATCTGAAACACCTCCACAGCAGACCCAGCCTCAGATCCAGAGAGAAGGGCGCGCACACGAATACACACACATACACACACACACACAGAGGCAGCCAGCTGTCAGAGCTGGGAGAGTCAGAAGAGCCCACAGGCTCATTAGCAGCCTCTTTTCTCTGGTCCCAGGGCAGTGGGGAAGCGGGCAGGTGTGGGAGAGCACTTTATGTTCTCTTCTCTCTGTTTTCCAGGCTGAGAGAGGCACAGGGACACCCCCCTGTCCACTGCAGGCTCAGCCCCTTCCTCGTTTCACATGGTATGCTCCCCAGAACATAAGATCAGGCTAAACACAGGGGCAGAGGTGACTTCAGAGCACCTTGGGCCATGCCTCTACCGTGGGCAGCCTGGCATCTCCCTCACTCTCCCAGCTGGTGGCCGAGCCCACAGCAGCGTGCCTCACAGACATCCCTGGAAAGCCCCTTGCTCTCTCTTGTACCCCTGGCTTCCTTATTGAAGGCAGGAAAGAGAATGGTAGCCCCCTGCTCCAGCCCCCACCCCAGTAGAATCAAGCCCAGAGCACAGCTGACAGGCTCCCACAGGAGGAGGAGGAAGGAGGAAGGGCTTTCATCAAAGAAGTGACGTCAAAACCAGGCAACTTGTGAAGCTGTCAGGGGCCGGGAAATTTGGACAAAGGTGTCTAAAAATAAACCCCTGAAGCCAGGAAAAGGCTTTGGTGGCTGAGCTGCTCGCCACCACACCACATGCCACATGTCCTGTTCTGAGGTCTGGAACCCAGAAAGTCTCTTCCCAGGGGTGCCCCTCTAATCCTGAGGTTGAAGATGGCACCAACAGGACTGGAGACACTGCCCAGCAGCCTTTCTTGGGTGAAACAGTTGAGGCCCCCTCAGGACGCACGCTGAGCGGGCCTCAGGCACCAATGTCTGCCTTCCTACCCTTACCGCCAGCCAACTACCCCAGCTCCTGCCTCACCCCGCCCTCAGCCTCCGCCCAACTCACCCCCAGGCAAGCACCTCCTCTTCAGTACCCTTCTGGCTGCCACTGTCCAGCTCACAAAGGAACTCCACCTCTATTCTCCCCGTGCCCCTGCCCTACCACAGCAACAACTGTCCTGTTTCTTCTCTTCCTGTCCTTGACCACCAAGGCCACAGCTGGTGACCCAGTTATTCATTCCCCAGCCCTGACACCAGACTCTTTTCACCTCCTTAACCAACACCTGTCTGAGCTCCCATTTCTATCACCGAGGCCTCATCCCTTCCCCCAGGCTGCTCTGGAGAGCCATCAGGTTCCTTCGAATCCACCAAATTCAAATTCCTGCTTTCTTCTACTGTCTGTTTCTCAGACAGCATCCCACTACACAGTCGACAGAGCTGGTTGCCCCCCCAGCCCCTCCACAACATCCAATCCAATCCAATCCAATCTGTGCAAGAGTCCATCAGTTCTGCCTCCAAAACAGATTATAAATTTCCACCTTTTCTGCACCTCTACAGCCATTGCCCCAGTCCAAGCAACCACAATTCTTGTAGAAATCCTGACAGCCTCTTAAGCACCTCCACTGGCCCCAGGGATCTGGGATCTGGTCCCACCCTGCGCAGGATGAGAGCACCTGTCTTGTACACGTGTGGCTAAGAGGCTCAGATCACATGTTCCTTTCCTGGCTGGAAAGGAACCTGACTTTCCACCATCTTTAGGTCAAACCCATGCTCGCACTCCGCTCTTCTTACCCCCTTCTCCAAGGGCTCTTTCAGGATTCCACCTGAGAGATTACCTCCTCCAAGAGGCTGTCCCTGACCACTCTATCCAAGTTGGTCCCCTGACCTTCCTCACCATTCTTTTCTAGCACGTATCCCATTTTTGTCTGACGTTTTTTTTTAAAGATTTTATTTTTAAGTTATCTCTACACCCAATATGGGGCTCAAACTCACATGCCTGAGATCAAGAGTTGCATGCTGTACTGACTGAGCCAGCCAGGTGCCCCTTGTCTGACATTTATTACCTGTCTCTACCATTTGCTGTAAATGTGTATCTCATATACCAACATTTCACAGTGTCCAGCACAGTACATGGCACATAGACATTCAATAAATTCAAGTTGAATGGATGAATAAACAATTGCTTTCAAGCCCAACTGGGTCATTTCCTAAAACCCAAGTTTACAAAATGTTCTGGAGGAGGAAGGATGTGCAACAGGGAAAATTAAAAAAAAAATCTCTGTGGACACAGAGACCCCCGATCAGATCTCCTGGTGGTTGGCTCTCTTCCTTCCTCCAGGTAGGCCAGTCTGCCAGCATTGCCAATGACCAGGTCAGAAACTAAAGGAGATAGGGCTGCTGCACAAGCCCATGCAGGGGCCAGGTCCGGGGCAACACATCAACATCTGGGGCCTGCCAGCCACAGCCTCAGGGCTCTTGCTTTGTGGGCCTCCAGCAGGAAAGGGTTAGGGTGGACCTGTCCATCCATCTGAGCCTGGAGTGGGGGCTGAGAACTAAAAATGGCTCTGGTCCAAGCCAGAGTTGAACTGACCAGGCTAGGTTTCTGAACAAGCTCCCTATGCTCCTAATAGATGCTCTGGCACCCACAAGGTCTTGGGCATTTGGGATAGATGCCAGCAGCCTCTGCCCATCTTCCTAGCTCTATAGGCACCTGCTCCATGAAGGCCCCAGGGTGTTGCCCTCCCAAAGGCAGCTTTTCCTCCCAGCCTAGGCAGTCCTCCCTGTCTCCCACCCAAAGGACTGGCTATCCTCCAACACACACATACACTAGGCCTCTCACCTTGATGTAGGCATCCAGGGCAGGATGGACACGGCGGGTAGCCAGCCAGATGGACAGGGTGGAGGTGTAGGGGAAGGTGGTTGTCACCACATGGCTGGGTGCTGGGAAGGAGAACACCTTGAAGCCAAATTTCTGGTAAAGTTGGATGAGCTCAGGGGAGGGTAACTCCTCACCCTCACTCAGAATGCTGCCCACTGCACAGCGGCACTTCTCAGGGGGTACCTGGGGAGGAAGAGCAGGGGTGTCAGGGTTGGGCAAAGGAAGGGGGCTCTCAGAACTCTTGCCACCTGCGTTCTGTGCCAGCTCAGGCCTGGCAGAACGACCAGCTCCAACAGGCCACAGCCCAGATACCACGATGGAGAAGAGTATTTTCTTTCTGGAACTGATCTGTGGCCCCAGCCTCTGGTATCCTGCTGCAGGACTCATCCATCCCTTCCTTTATGCCTCCAACAAATATGCCAGGCCCTGTGCTGTGGAGGGCGAGCAGGAAGCGGGACCACACTGAACTGTGGATTGCTGATGAAACTGAGATCCTCTTCCCCAATCCCTCAGGCTGGGCCAGCCACAATCACCAGAGCCTCCCGACCTCCTCTCCAACCCGTGCTCCATCCCAAGCCCTGACACACTTGCCAAGTCCCTTCTGGCTCAGGTGGAGACTGCTGGTTCCCCTCCAAGTCTCCCTGGGCCCCCAGTACCTGTATGTAACTGCACTCTGATCCCCTCCCTCACTGCCCTCACCCTCCTGGATCCCATAAACTCAAGGCAGGCGGGGCTCCATGTGAGTCTCTAACACTTCCTAGGCCTGGCCCCAGGCCTGCAAGGCCCAGCACTCACCTCTCCTTCTGGCATCAAGAGGCCCCAAGTTGTATCATCTCCTGCCACCTGAATCTACACCAGCCCCTGATACCCCCAGGGGTATCTGATCCTAAGTCTAAGACACTCATCACAGACCTTGTGCCATCAATCCTGGATTTCTCTCTACTTGAAGGTCCCTTTCTCCCACTACCTGGGGCCCACTGACCCTTAAATTCAAACTCCCTCTACCTCCAGTTGCTTCTCTTGGCATACCTTCCCGCACCATGAAGTCATTTTTACCTGTTCTTGCTTCTGTCCTCTTTCCAAGCCCTGTCAACAATCCCCTAGGTGTGTCTCAGTCCAGCCTAGCTCTGTCCTTAGAGTCTCACTTTGCCTGGGACTCATGCCCCGACTCCAAGTTCTCACTTCTGTGCAGTCCCTGGGGGTCACTCCCAGCTCTCTGCAGCTAGGGCCCCCTTGCTGCTCCCTTGAATCCTATGTCATTAAGCGTAGCTCAGGGCTTTACTGGCAGGCACTATGGTGCAGTGGTCAGGATCACAACTTCTGGAGAAAGGCAGGACTGGGTGTGAACTGTGAGTCGTGTAACTCTGGATAAGTCCCTTCGTTTCTTGGAGCCCAAGTCCCTTACACAATTGACGTATTGAATGAGATTCTCCATATGAGGGCTCAGCGTGGTACAGAACTCAGCAAGTGCTGTAAATGTTGTTGGTTATTAGCAGCTATGACACAGGCCCGGTAAGTGACCCCTGGCCTGCAATGCCCAGTCACCCAAACCTCTGAACACGTAGCTCCTCCCTGCCCATTCTTCAGGCTCAAGCACCCTCCTGGGGAACCTTTCAGGGTAGCTCAGTGTCACCCCCCCCCCCCAACATTTTGCTGTAAACTCTTGCCTCCATCAACTCTACCTGGTAGCAGTCACTTCACTGGTCTGACACAGCTCCCACCCCACCCAGGCAGAGGCACTGGAGCAAAGTGCAGTACCATCTCTCGTCTATAGATGGTGCAGCTGCTCCATCCACGCCCAAGGCTTGGGGCAGGAGGCGCTGCCAAGGCCTCCTGCTGACAGACGGAGGGAGCGTGCCTGCGGCAATGCCAGTCACCATGATCCTGACCCCAGCAACTTATGATGTACAAAAGAAACATTCAATATAGCTTAGATGGAGAAATGGATGGAAAGCCCCCTGACTGATCATCTCTGGCCTACCTAGGATTGGGTCCCAGGGTCTTTTCGGGGATCACTTCAGCAGCCTTTATGGAGCTCCCAAGCTCAACATCCTCATTGACCCGTAAAAAGCACCACAACACTCGTGACGACCCTGCTTATAACTTTTCAGTGGCTCCCAATTCTGATCTAGAATGAAACTCTCAAGCCCAGCATGCAACACTGTTTTAAGTGGTCCATACAATACTGCCTGGATTTGTCCACACACTCGCCTAGCACTTTTTTTGCATCCCCAGGCCCCAGCAAGGGCCAGAACCCAGGTGGGCAGGTGTCCACTGAGTATCTGAGTGGCAGAGGGAGGGACAGATCCAGGCTCGGGCCCAGCCCACGTTGCCAACCTCCTCTCCCACCACAATCCTGCACACGCCCACATGGAACTATTTGCAGCTCCCCAAACATGCCACGTCCTTCCATGCTTCCTGCCTTTGCGTAAGCTACTTCCTCTGCCTGGAATGTCCTTCTTCACCCTACTCCAGAGTCCCTTCTGCCTGGGAAACTCCTGCTCATCCATCAAGACTCAGCTCAACCCTCCTCCTCAAAGCCTTCTGATGGTCCCTGCCAAGCAGCCCTTCCTCTCTGATCCCAAATGCCGACCCGAAGGAGCAGGCCTTGTGCTGCACAGTAACTAATGGTCCCTCCATCTCTCCCCACCACTCCAGGCTTCTAGGCAGAAAGGTCCAGGATCCTGTGCACACATGAACTTCTTGGGGTATGCTCAGCAACAGTACATGAATGCCTGTACATGCACACATGGGCCCTGCACATGAGCAAACCTCTTCTTCCTCTATCTCAAGAGAGGAACTCCCATCACAGGGAAGGGAAGAAGCTAATAAGGAAACAGGACTCCTGAGATCCTGGAGGTGTATCAGCCTCAGGCCCTCCCTTTCTGCCTGAGCAACCCCTCAATTCCACGAGTGAGGATACCTCCTGCACCATTCTGCCCTGGCCAGTAGCTAAAGGGCAGCCTAGGAAGTTACTCAGCAAGCCCACCACCTGCTAAGCAGCCCTGTACCAGCTGGAGCTGCTGGAGTTCAGCAGCTGAACCAGGCACCAGCAAGGAGATGGAACAGGCCTGAAGACTAGCTGGGGAGGGGCAAGGCTGGTCAGGAGCAGGGGAAGGCTTCCCTGGGCTCCCTGGAGAGCCCATGCCCACCTCCAGGAGAATGGCCCACTGAGGTCAAGGGCCTAGAAGACAAAGGAGTGTCCTCATAGCTACAAACTCCATCCACCTTAGTTCAATGCAATGCCTCTATTTGGGCCTGACCCTAGGAGGTCAGCCTGGGCTTCCCAGTTCCATCTGTTTGCTCTCTTTCCTCCCTATATCAGTCATTTCTCTAGGTACCTGTGCCCAGAACAAGAGCTGTGAGGCCTCTGGAGTCCTGGCATGTGAGAAGAAGGCAGTCTGCTTGGAACCTAAAGCTTCTGGGTACAGGCTGGCCCCAGTGCTCCTACCAGAGGGCTCATAGTGCCAGGTTGACCCTGTTGGTGAGGCCATAGTGAAAAGAGAGTCCCTGCCTGGCTAAGACTTCACTGAGTCTAGAAACTGGGCAAGACTGGTATCTTCCAGGATCCAGGAAGGAAAAATGGTGTCAGTTGGTCCAGACCAAACCCAGATGTTAGGTTCAGTAGAAATGGCCAGTCTAGGACCTGCAACATCTGATGAAGACAGCTGCAATGCCTGCCGATCCCAGGCCCAGCGAGCTGCCTCGACTCCTCCTGGCCAGCATACCCAGCCCAAAGCTGCCCAAGGTAAGGGGACAAGTAGGGACAGTGCCTTCACTGGCACTGGTACCCCCAAGGGGGAACAGTGCAGCCGCAGCTGTTCATTACTGGAGGGTGAACAGTGGGTTCATTTAACCTTTGGGGTGCTGCAGGTCAACACACCAAGCCCCACAAACTTCCCCAAGCAGGTGGTATCCAAAGGCAAAAGCTGGTCTGGCACTAGTCAGGATATGGGTGACACAGACAGCAGGGCCAGAGAACAGGACCCGCATTTCAGGCTGGACGGGAGGTGAGTAAGCAGGATGCCAACCTCCAAAGGGGGGCCTGGGGGCTTTCTGGGAACTCTCACTTAGAAGTCTTTCAAGGCCTTCTTTTCACCCCCAAGCATAATCCTAACAACAGCTGGCACCTGACAAGGTGCTCACCATCTGCCCCAGTTGCTGCCTTCCATGTTTAAGCTCATTCAATCCAAACAACACTGTGCAATAGGTACCATTATCAACTCTTGTTTCTGAGGCCCAGACAGCAAAGCTATTCAGAAAGGGCCACACGGCAAGGCAGTGTTGGAGTCCGGATTCGAACCCAGGCACTTGGCTCCAGAGCTGCACCACAGGACGCAAAGCCACCTGGGAGCCTAAGAAATAAGCCCTAGCTAGGAACGGCCTGCATAATGGACCATCCCTATGCTGAGCCTCCTCTCATGGCCCAGGCATCCTGCAAGAGGCTAGGCCAGAGGCAGGCAAGCAGGGTTCCCAAAAGTACAAAGTCCTAGTGGCATGAGGCCCGGGGGAGGGGGTACCAAGAGTACTAAGCATCTACTGGGGGCCAAGTATTGGGCTTTATCCTCATTATTTAGTCCCCAGAAAAACAAAACCCCTGAGTTAGGGATTCTCAGAAAGACCAGGTGACTCCCTCAGAATCACACTCTAGTAAGCAGTGGAGCCTTGATTCAAACCCAGAAAGAGTCCAAAGCCCTCTTCTCCTACACCCCAGCCCTCCTCCCTACCAAAGGCAGCTCTGCTTTCCAGGGCTGCCCCCCACAGTTAACCTGCTTCAGAGCAAAAGCCTGGACTCCATCTGGATGAAAACCATCACACGTAATTGGGGTAGGGAATGGCCTGGGCCCTTGGAAACATCAGATAGCCCACATTCCCACTGCCCTTGTTGAGGGGTCAACCCTGGGCAATCCTACACCCTCATTCCCTCCCGGGCTCCATGTGGTCTCAGTGCCTCCAAGGATCGCAGGGAGGCCCCATCCCCACACACACTAAAGGGGAAGTGTGGCACAGGCCTAAATCAACACTCTTACCAGCCTTAGCCCCTGCAGACTTGGTGGTCCCAGGCTGACTCTCAGTGGACTAGGAGAAAAAGGGAGCTTCAACACAGCCCAGTTTACTAAAGGCAGAACCCAAGCACCACCAGTTCCCCCATCTGCTCCATACCTGGGCCTCAGCCAGGTAAACTGAACTGGCTGCCACGCCCCACCTGCCGCAGCCAGGCTCCCCACAGGGCAGGCAGACAGGTTGCTTAAGGCCCAAATTGCAGTGGAGGCGGTAGCAGCAGAGGGTGGAGTAGGGGGTGGAGGGCCAGGATGGCACACAGGACAGGTCCATGGGCACAGGGATAGCAGCTGACCCAGAAGGGCCTATCTGCAGGCCAGAGCTGGTCAGGATCAAGTGAGCCACTCAGGGTCCTCCTGGCTCTTTCCCTCCCCTCCAAAACCCCAGGCTCCCCGAGGGACCAGGCCGCAGACCCCACACCCCACCTCAAAAGCAGGGCTGAGGGCAGAGCAATTTTGACTCTTCTCCAGCTTTACAAGAACATAACTGGATCTGTGTGTGTGTGTGTCTGTGTGTGTGTTTGCATGTACACTGGGGACGGGGCAGGCAGAGATCAGTGACTGACTCTGGAACTCACCCCTTCCCTTGGTACTTAGAAGAGGAAATGGCTGCACTCCAAGAATGCTGGGCCCTGGAGAGGAGAAGAACACCTATGAGCCACTACCAGGGTCGGTCCACTTCCTGTCACATGTTCCCTCATTCCTCCTCCTACCTCTCCAAAGGCCCTCAGGGATGGAGAATGGAATCCTTTCTCTTGCCCAACAAGAACGAGCTGCCCAGACCCTGCAACTTCTTCCATACAGAACTCCAGGATCTGGAGTTGACTGACATATATATGCTGACCCTCCAAGACACAGAGCTGACGAGATATATATGCTAAAACAGCATCTGACATGAAAGAGTCCACAGTGATGGCCATGACCTTGCCTTGGTGGTGCCCTTTCCTGTGTCACTCCTGCGCCCACAGCCAGACCAAGTGAGGCCTCCCCCAGGCCTTTCTTAGAAATCAGCCTCCCCCTGTCCTGCTGAGGCCTAGAAGGGGAGTGGCTAAAGAGCTGTCAGTTCACACCTTAAGGGGGGAGGGCAGCACTGATAGATAGGAGGTGGCCACCTCTCACCTGGTCACTCTCTGCCCACTCACAGACCTGAAAGAGCCTCACTCCTCCCTACTCTCACACAGAAGCAGGTTCTGGCTCCCATTGTGCTCACTGGGGAGGGAAAAAGTGTGGGGATGGGCCACACAACAGCTCAGCCTACATCCTGTCCCCTCCGTCTGTGAACCAAAATATGCAGGGCCCCATGCTGGACACTGCTTAGGGAGGCAGCCTAGGGAGAAGGCTTGGGTTCTTAGCCTTCCCCAGGACTGGATGGGGTCTCTCACCCAGGCTCCCCTGATACACCCACACTGAGAGGTCCTGAGGGCTGGGCCCTTTGGTCTTCACAGTGCCCCAGTGCCCAGCAGTGTGGCACATTTGTTAAATAAAAGCAAAAAGTATGAGTGAACTATGTGAGATCAATACCTCAACTCCTGCTATCTGATCCTCAGTCTCCTCCTCTATCACATCAGCAGTGTGGACCCTGAGGCCCCAGGTCCTTATAGACCAGATGGTCTGTGATAGCCATGAGCACCTGAAGTCTGGGGGGGTCCATGGTCCCCTAAACCCTCTGTGAGAATCCCTGCTAGGCAGAGAATATACTACCCAGCTCCCAGAATAGATGGAGACTAAGCATCCCTGAGCTATCCCAGGTGTCAGGGTATGACCTAGCTCTGAATGTGGACACGGGTGTCTTCTGGAGTGACCCATGACTGAGAGGGACAAGATCAGAGGGACCACTTTAACCTATACATTCATCCTCTGAGACAGCCAGATGTCCACAACCAGGCCAAGGGTCTAGGCCTGGGTCATGAGTGCTCAGCCTAATGCCCAAGTGCACCTAATTAGCATGAATGTCTTGTCCACCCTTTTTTGTTGTTGTTAAACAGCTATTGAGGGCCAGGTGGTAGGATGAATGCCTCACCTATGTCCCCTAATTTAATTCTTGCCAGACAACATATGAAGCAGATACCTTAACATAGCTCTATAGATGAAAAAACAGAGGCTCAGAGAGATTATGTGATATGCTCAAGATCGTACAGCATGACAGTGATGAAACAGAATCAGAACCCAGGACTGCCAACCTTGAGGCTGTATTCTCAGACTGGCACCCAAGTCAGGCTGCACCCAAACAACCAGCCCCCCCACCCCCACCCCAAGACAGCTATATGGTGGGCTGCCTGGAGGCAGTGGCTGGGCCGGCCATGGGGAGTGCACACCATGCCAAGATTCTTCTATCTCACTGTTCCCTGGATCAGCCTCTAGCACTGACCCCAAGGTACACTGATGCCTTGGCCCTTTCCTATCCTGGAATTAGCATTTCCAACCCAAGAGGCAATGTGCTGCTTTAGGAACAGGACACGCTGATGAGGAAAGAGGCAACTGCAAGGACTCTCCTCCTTCCCACTGAGGGCTTGCAGAGGGCTCCAACTGGGCCAGGTGTGGAAGGAGGGGCAGGGGTTTACAGAACACAGCCCTACAGGAATGGGGGTCCAGCATCTGGTCTAGGAGATTCCCAAAGCCCAGCTCCCGCCCCAGGTCACTTAGGCTCCAGCGCTCTCAACTCCCACTTAGTGCCATCTCCCAACCATGTGACCTCAAATCCTGTCTACTCATCCCTCAACCGGGCCAATGTCACCGCTCACCTGGGCCTAGCCCAATCTCCTCAATGGCCTCCCTGCCTCATCTCCTCCCCTCCTCCACCTGCCATCCAGTTAGCTTCCTAAATCACAGGGGGCAAACTGTGCTGCCCCTTGCCTCCCAACCTGCTGTTCCTCACACTGCCTGGCCCACGAACATTTCTACTGCTTTCTTCACCCACCACATGTCCACTGGCTACACTTTCCCTATCGTCCCATGTCTGCAAGCCTTTACTGTCGTACTTCTCTCAGTCAGAAGGCCCCTCCTGGCAGAGCAAAGTTCTACTCATGGGAGAAGTCCCAGCTAAAGTCCACCTCCTCTGTGAGCTTCTCAGGCAAACTTGAAGTACGCTCCCCAAACCTGCAGCTCAAAGCTCTACAGACATCAAGTACAGGGCCTACTAGAGATTCATTTGTATGGTGCTGACTTGCCAACCACGTGAAGCTTTTTTGAGGGCAGGGCCAGGTTTGTCATCTCTGGAGTGCAGGTGTCGAGTAGAACCTGGCACAGAGAGTCAGCACACATTTGTTTCTATAAGTGTCCCACTGAGACTTGGTAGGAGACAGTGGGTAGGCTATAGGCCTTGCCTACTTGAGCTCTACAGGCAAGGAATCCAGAGCTGGGGATTCCCAATGGTCTGTTTGCCAAGGCTCAGAGCTGAAGGCTGAAGAACTCTTGGTAGAGCTGCCAGCCCATGCAGCTGTGTGCAGTACCACCCCATGCATGGCAAGAGGCCACATTGGTGAGCCCTGACTCACTACAGGCTGTTAAGTACAGCCAGACGCCCACAGGGTACCAGTAATGCTGGGCTCATCTCTGACCCCAGCATCCTAGATATTCTGGGCAGCTCACCTGGCTCCACTTGATCCCCACCACCCCCATCCTCTCCAAACCAGGCAGCTTAACATCCAAAGAAATGCAGTATCACTGAGGCAGGGGCCACCAGAATGGCTGAAGAGGTAGGATTCTAAGCCCCATGCCCAGGACCTGCTCTCTCAACCCTTGAGGAGCTGTAGCCATAGCAGGAAAGCTGAAAGAGGGAAGGCATAGAAACAATAAGATATGACTCCAGAGAGAAGGTGGAATCTGAATAGCCCGGCCTTAGAGCACTGGCCTCAAATGGGGATGAAAAGAGGGAGGCACAGCAAGAAGAGGCAGGGGACCAAATTCCTGGCAGAAACTAGGGACACGCAATGGTGTGGCCCCTGCAGTCAGAAGTCCATTGGTAGCCATGAGCCGAGAACCAGACCTGGGCAAGGAGAAAGGATGCCTGGAGCAGGAGTCCAGGTTAAATCTGGAAGGAGCTTCAAGCTCAGAGAGGAGGTGGTATGTAGGACCAGCTCACAGATTTTCCCACCCCTCCTCAGAAACTACAACACCTCTGCCCCATGTCCATCCATGGAGCGGAACCCCAGCTAGGGCACAGGAGGCTCCTTACCATGTGGGGGTTGTCGTAGTAGACGGCGATGGAGCGGAGCTTGGGGGAGACACTGCAGCTCTCGGTGAACAGCCGCCCAGTCTCGCTGTAGGGCCCCATGTGGAACTTGTAGGCCACAGTGACATTGCAGATGGGGGGTGAGCCGGCACTCACTGTCACCCCAGCCAGCAGCCCTGAGTACCAGGCAAAGGCCAGCAGTGTCAGCAGCAGCAGCAGGGTCAGGCCCCCAATCAGGCCTAGGAGGAGCAGGTCAGACATGGCTCTGTGCCCCCGACACTGTGCCCCCAGGCAGCTGCAAAAGAGACAGGAGGGAGAGAAGGCTCCTCTGACCAATGTGCCCACCTGCCCACCAGCCACTTCTGGCCCAACCTCAGCTCTGCCTTGGGTGCTCTGACCCAGGAGGGGGAGGGGCCATGGTGTTTACACACAGAGTGACCTAGAAGAGAGCTACAAAGGATGACTGAAGCCACAAGCCTCTTTATTTCTTAATCACAATTGTTGAGGCTCCCAGAACAGCTCTGCCTGTCAGCTGGCAGCCCTTGGTCACACCTGGGGAAACTGAGTCATAGAGGAGCACAGGAGTGAGTCAGCCAGGGACATACTCCCAGCCCTGACCAACCTCCCCCAAGATGGGCAAGACGTCAGCCAGGCTGCCTTCTCCCTACATTACCTCTTCCTTTCCACACACCGCCACACTGCCTGCCTGACCTCCCCAAGCCTCATGGACCACTGCCAGGGGGAGGATGGGCAAGCGCCAGGGTCCGATCACTTATTAACAAATAGGTAAACCATAAGGGGAAAAAACCCCATGGGGAAAATGTGCCACAGGAAGAGACTCTCACAGGAAACTCTCCTTCTCTAAACACATCTGGCACTCGGAATCTTGGTATCCAGCAAGCTCACCCATCCAGAACCAAGGAAAGATCAGATCAAATCAGCCTGAGCAGCCAGAACAAAGTCCAGCACTGTGCTTCCCAGACTTGAACCACTGGTGCCAACAAGCTACATCCCACTTTTCCAGCTCATAGGTTAGAAACTAGGAGGAGGAAGAAAAGTTTGCTAGAAATGGAAACACACCAGGGAGAACAATTATTCCCTGGCCCAAGCAGTTCATCCCATGGGAAACGGGTGCTGGCCTTCGGGAGAGTCACAGGTGGGTGTACTTGCTGCCCTGTTCTTCCCCTCCACCAGCATCTCCAGGTGTTCAGAATTATTCTTTGTGGTTTTGATCCTGCCACCCCACCTCCTCTACTAGGTAGTTCACAGAAAGGCATCATGGGGTGGGGTGAGGGAGTCTTTTTTTTCCTTTTTGTGTTTATGTCGTTTATCTGACAATTGTCCCTCCTCCTCACTGGCCTTTCCTCATTCCTCCTTTCTGTATGGTACAAGCAATAAAGACAGTCATTTCAATGTAGGAAAAAAAAAAAGCAGAGAAGCTATTCAAGAGCAGGTCCAGACACACAACAGAGGCTGGTGTGTGAGCCACTCAAGGAAGACCGTTCAGCCTCCATGAAGCACGGGGCCAGAAACCTAACCCTCTTATAAGAAGGTTTAACCTGAGTCACCCGGGGGGGGGGCAGAAAAAATCATAGCACAGAGAAGACTGTTTAAAGAGGAAGGGAAACATGTGACCCATTGGAGGAACAGTCTCACCCCAAGTATTTAAAATTAATATTTAAAATTTAAAAGACTGGGAGCTGAAAGTCAACACTTCAGCCCTATGGAAAACTTAGCTCTATGGAATAATTTGTTCCCTATGGGTTCTGGGTGTCAAATTTTTTTTACTGAAAAATTGCCTTTGGAGTCAATGAACACATAGTGTTTGCCTCACAAAGAAGCAAACTAAACTCCTACATCTCTGATATCATAAAATTGAGATGCATCACACTGGTCTTCTTACCCATATGTGTTCCTGCCCCACAGTTGTGCTTTTTTTGGGATGCATTCGCTGTCCTACTCATCTTGCCTCTAGTTTCATTCCTGTTTTCTTTCATGATAATGATGATAACTCTTTTACCGAGTACTTACTATATGCCAGGCACTATCTAAATGCTGAAACACAGCTACTTTATTAATCCTCAAGACAAGGTAGGTGTGAATCAGGAGGTTAAGAGATTTACTCAAGGTCACACAGGTACTAAATAGAACCCTAGACCAAAATGCAGGCAATGGGAACTCAAGCAGTCTGACTCCAGGCCCCATTTCCACGTTCTCCTTCCTGGTGACAGGGTTTCCAGAAAAAATCAAGCTTTTTTCTAATCCATGCTTGGATATCTCTGAACCCAAGGCTCTCAGCTGGAAGCTCTCACTCAGCAGCTAGGTCTCCACGTTGCCTTGAGAGTGACCATCCCTCACTTTGACCTACCCTCTCAGCTGCACACTCCCCATCCTCCTCAAAGCAACTTAGTTCCCACCTCCCTCTTCCTCTCACCTCCTAAACTACCCAGAATAGAGGGAAAATGCACCCCAGAGCTTGGGTCTGCACAGGAGGGAGGCAGGGCAAAGTGAATTTCCCCAAACTCAAGAGAAAAGGCAGGATAAGGGCTGGGGAAGCTCACCTGAAAAGACAGGCTCACTTCTAGCAACTCATGGCATCCAGCGCCGCAGGGACCAAGTGCTCCAAGTGCTCCAGTGCTGGGGGCAGAGAGAAAATCACCACTGAGCTGGGCATCCTGCCTTGACTGTCCCCTTTTCAGGGAAAGCCCACTAGGGCCTCTACAATAACTCTGTCTTCACAAGGTTGCACCTCTACCTCGTCCTCACACCCCTTCCGGAAATCAGAAGCCAAACTCGGCCTCATAATGTGAACTCTTACTGGGGCCAGGCTCATGCCCGTTTTTGGAGAGCCCTCTTCCTGGAGGGTCCCAGTCACCGCACCTCGCTCTGAAACAGCCCCTGCCGCTGACATCTGGCAGGCTGTCCCCCTCTGGCCCGCTGCCGGAGAGGGTCTGGGCGGGCTGTCCCGCGCCGGCTTCCTGGAGCTGCTCACTTGCGCAGCGGCAGCCGGCCAGGCCCTTAAACTTCGGTGCCAGCGGGGAGCGGAAAGACCCGGGTGCTGAGGGGCCTGCGCGGGAAGGAGGCGCGCCGCCTCCCACTCTGGGCTTCCAGCCCTGCTTACCCGGACCTCGCTTATTTACCCAGCCCCTTTCCTTTCAGCCACAACCTCACCGGGCCTCACACACCTCCGAAACTTAAGAGACGCTAAAGTTTGTAGCCACCGCTGCGAGGCGCGGCCTCCAGGGGCCGGGGCGGAGTTAAAGTGCGGTTCTTGCCTCAGTTCCCCACCCCCACCCCCCGCTCGGGCTTCACTGCCTCGGGGCGTGCCCTGCACCGGAGGCCGAAGCACAGGCGACCCAGCGTGGTAGACTGGTCCAAGGTCGCGTTCGGGCCCTTGGACCGGGTCGGGGCCAGCTGCGGGCGAGACAAGATGCAAAGTGCGGCCTGGGCCGCGGGGGTCACGGAGGGGACGCGGAGGCCCCTGAGGTCGCTCCCAGGCGGTCGGAGGTTCCAGGCCCTCAGCACGCGTGGGGCCGCCCCAGCGGGACGCCTCTCCTCCGGCCCGGCCCTCACCTCAGCGGCCGCCCGCCGCGGACGCCGATCCGCGCAGGCGGCTACAAGCTAGGTCGCGGAGCCTACGCGCGCCCGCCGCGCACGTTCGCTCCGCCCCCTCTCGCGGCGGGACGTGGCCGTGGCCGTGGGCGCGTGCGCGCGGGACCCGGAGGGCGGAGGCCTGCCCCGCCCGGTCTCCATAGCAACGAGAGGCGCCCATTTCCCTCCCCACCCCCAACACCCCTGCCGTCAGGGGCGGAGCCCACTGAGCACCTTCCTGCCTCCCACAAACTTACCAGGCCCCAGCCGTGGGAGGCGGACGGAAGTCAGCCTGGTGGCCCACAGTAGAGAGCCAGGCTAGGGTCCAAGGAAGCCCTCACCAGAGCGGAGCGTTTGAAGAGGCTTGGGAAGTTCAGCACAGCAGTATCAGCCTCTGGCATTTATTTGTACCACCCTTCGTCCTGCCACTTTCTCTTCCTGAAGCTTCCCGACAGACCTGTGAACCCAGCAGGGTAGGGCCACTTGTTCCCCTTTTACAACTGAGGTAACAGACGCCCAACCAGGACGCAGGGAAGAAGCGAATGGATCCAACCTCTGGAACAGCGCAAATGTCAGTCACGTCTCCCAACACTCCACCCCACCCCACCCCAACCAGAGCACAGGAGTGGTCATTCAACCACCCAGGATAGTTGAATAGTTCTAGGGGCTAGGATGGATAGTTCTAGAGACTGGGGACACTGATGCCAAGATAGTTCTAGGGGCTGGGGAAATTGAGTGAATAAACCAAGGCCCCGCCCCCTTGGAGCTAACCAGGAACCGCCCCCCTCCAGGCTCCTCTCTCAGAGCCCAGGATGTGCTTGGGTGAGGCTGGTCTGCCCTTCTAGCTTAAGGTATTCTAGGTAACTCCCGGATCAAGTGTAAGCTCCTGGAACATAGGTTGAATCTTCCGCTCATATTTCTGAGGACCTACAAAGTACTCTCCTAGAGCCCCAAAGATCAAACTTCGCCCTCCTGAGAGGCCCAGTCTTGCAGTGGAGGGAGTAGGGGAGGGGGCAACTATGCTCCTAAGCTTGGCCTACAAGACAGGCTGGGCCAAGAGCTACCTTGGTGCTCCTGACAGGGAGGACCGATATTTGGAAGGGGAATCATCTTAGCATGGATTCCACTACTGCACTAGCAAAGGGCAGATTGGGCACACAGAGGCCCTCGTAATCCTGTCTTCCTTTTCCACTACTTCACACAGTTCCTTCCACAGGCAGGAAAGGATGACCCTCATCCACAGGGCCAAGCCTGTCCTCAGCTGTCTGGGAGAGAGCTTTCTCTGGCAGAAAAGAGCCAGCTGGCCCCTCACAGGCATTCAGGGCTGGGTTGGCAGGGTCATGGCAGTTCTGTTTTGCTTATGAACATCAAATACATGATCAAACCCTTTAGGTGCTCCAGGCAAGTGGGCTATACACTTGGAAGCATTTCCTATGGGATAAGAGCCAGTTCATGGTTCAGAGACAAGAGAGCTTCTGCCCACAGTTCTTTTGCCTGATCATTTTTCCTGTTTCTCAGAATCTGATGAGTTTCTCCCAGGAAACCATTGTATGGAGCTGTCCTTTCCTCATCTCATCCTCTCTGCTCACTTCCTTCAGGCTGGTTGGGGAATTCCAGAGGCCCACGTCAGAATTCAGGGTGTGCCTTAGGAGCTTCACCACCTCTGTTGTGAATGGAGAGTCAGCCTGTGACTGAGGCTTCTGGCCATAAGCCCCCCTCCTCACCTTCATCTCTTTCGCCTCCCAACAGAGCAAGCCCAACCCTTGGCAGGGATCGCTGCAAGACCTCTGCTAGCCACCAGGAGGCAGCAGCCAAGACAAGCCGCCAAAGGAAGCGTTCCTCTTCCCTCTTGAAGTAAGAGAGTAAGCAGACCTGTTCACCTAGCCATCTGCCCTACACACACTGCACTCCCAGTCCTCTCCCCCAATAGCATATATTCTCTCATGAGCCCAGACTTGGCCTTTGTCTCCTCCTGCCTTTCTCTGTCCAAGAAATCCCCACAAAGCCTCTTTAATTCTCCCTCAATAAACTTCCAGAGACTGTTTCCCTAGGGCTCCTCCCCTTACAGGGGGCAAACTTGGAGAGACGAAAAAGGTAGACTACCCCCACCTTCCTTTACCTCCTCATGACCCACTAACTCGTGACAAATGGAGAAGGCATATGCAGTGTAAGATGATCTGCCACCAGCCATCTCCCACCCGCTGAAGGCACTGATGCTGTACCCAATCAATCCCCAGCCATCCAGTCTGGTTAGGGCTGCCCCAGCAGGACTTGTGATTGAGGACCATCTAGCCTCAGGCCACTCTGAGTCAGTTTCACTGTTTGCTCTAGAGCCAGGAAATGTGGCCCTTTTCAGGGGAGCAAAGGCAGAAAAAGCCTAGTGAACCCCACCTGCAACGAAGCCTGCCAGCAGTCTGCCCTCTATTCCTCCCTCCCTCCCCCACCCGCCCAAGTGCCATCCCAGTGCCCACTATACTGTTATATCCCTTTCACCACCACCCAGCCAAACAGCTGTTCAGACAATTCCTTGATCAAACAACACTGCCTTCTTGAGTTTAAATTTTATTTTACAAAAAGAGAAATAAAGAAAACTGATAGGCAGTTATACTGACAATTGTTCTGTTTGCTTTTTTAAAAAAGTGACATGAAACACAAGTAAAAATAAATACGTCATAGAAACAGCCAGTTGCCCAGTCTCTGGGGCAGGAGCACCTGCCCTGCTGAGAGAGGAGGGAAGCCCATGATCACACCAGCAGCTGGAGCACCCAGCCACAGATGCTCCTCAAAGCCAGTCGCAGCAGGTCCCAGGCCTCAGGGGGCATCCTGAGGAAAGAAGATGGAAAACCAAAGCCAGGTGCCAGGTCCCTGGGGCCATTTCATATCCCCCCACTCCTCCCGGCAGCAGTGTGGCCTTAGTGGTTATCCATTGCGACCCCCTCAACCCACCTGGACCCCCTTCCCCTGACCCTTCTGCAGAGGGTACAGAAAAAAACCAGTCTTGGGCAGGCTGAGGGGGATTTTTCCCGTGAGTCCCCAGCCCACCCTGAGTAACAAAACCAGATAACAGTTTACACCCGTGTGCATAAGTGCACACTCTATCTCGCACATACACACGTACGTACACACACTCAAGCGCACACACACTTGGGCTGAGCTCTCTTCCAGGAGGGTCCTGGGTCAGGTCACAGTATGAGGTCCCCTCTTCTGAATATCACCCCAGTAGTGGTAACAGTACCCAAATCTCCTCCAGCCCTCTGCACTAGACTCTGCAGCCTACCTGGCTACCTCTTCCCAGTGCACTGGATTACTACATCCAACCAACCTGAGAGAGGAAAGGGGCTGACTCAGGTCCCTGAAGAGTGAAGAAGTTGGACACTGCCTGCTTGGAAAGTTCATCGTTAAGACTTGGGTATTCATAAAAGGCCTAGGGCCAAGCGAGTGGCACAGAAGAGACATGAAGGGGTCACATCGGAACACACAGGGCAGAAGAGTCAGTAGGAGGGGACAGAGTGGAAAGCGCAGCATTCTCAGGCCTTGAGGTGCAGATTTCCTGGGAACAAGTCAGAGGAGGGCCAGAGAGTCTCCTGGGGGTCCATTGAGGGAAAGAGCTCTTCTCTCAGAGTAGGTTTATTGGGGAAAGAAAGACTTAACTGGGTGCACAGGAGGCCATGGCTCAGAAGGGAGACTGGTTTTCCGAGGAATCACAGGAAACTGGGAAGTGGGAGGAAGGGGGTCATGGCCAGGAACACTAGGAATAAGGAATGTACCCCCCCCCCCGGACATTCCCCATGGGATGAGGACTCAGTTTCAGAGCAATGCCAGGCTTGAACAGACTGAGACAGAGGGCCTTGCTCTGCTGACAGCTTTGGGAGTGACAGTGTCTCCACCCAGACTAAAGTTTGGTTGAGTGTTTCAACTTATCAGCAAAACTTTACCCCAGCTATTTGCTTCATGCCCTGGAGAGGGGAATTTCATATTTAGTTGTGAATCACAAGTATACAGAGAGATACCACACACTAATTCCTAGGGAAGAGAGTTCCAAGGACTAGAAAGAGATGCTCAAGAAGCACAACTTGAAGGGGGTGAGGACTTGGCAGATATCCAATGATCTGATCCAACATGGTTCACTTACTTTCTTACTGAAATGGCTACTTTGTCTCTGGTTCAATTTTTATCCACAACAATGTTAAGAAAAGGAAATTGAGTATCATTACAAATGGTAATCCTGAATCATTACGTAGTACTATATTCCCCTAGCCTGAGGATTTAGGCTAAACCAGATGGATGGGGCTTGAGAGGCCCTTGAAAACATTCTATGGAAGACAATGGTGAGGGAAAATGCTGAGGGGCCTGATCTACTGCCTACCCCTACCCCTCCCCACCCCATATCACCACCCTTCCCTTACTCAGGCCTGGATGGTGGGTGGAAGCCACCACCAAGTGTTTCTGATCAAAGAGGCTGTAAAACATGGTTCTTAGGCTCTGAGACATTTCCTGCTTCCCTCACACACATGCTCATGTTTGGTGTGCACGCACACTTGCCTACCAGCATACACAAAGAGACAGCAGAAAAGTCAGAAAAGTGTTTTTAGATTAAAAAAACAAAAACCCAAAGCATGAAACTGGTAGCATTCCAATTTCCCATGATCCCACCCCATACCCCCTATACAATATAAGCTGCACATATCAAAGAAAGCCTTCCCTAGCCAGGTCAGCCTCCCAAAACTATTGCCTCTTCTGACCTGAAGCAAGACCCAGCCCCTGGAATCAGTGGGTAGAGAACAGGTATGTGCTGCCTCTCAGAATACCCATTCACTTCCTGGTACCTTCAAAGGCCCATCCTTCCAGTGACTGGTTTCAATTCCTTGCTGATAGTTTCCAGATTCTCAGAGCCTGCTGCTGTGACTTCTTAGAGGTGAACACAGACATACTCCTCCTTCCCTAACACCACACACACACACACACACACACACACACACACACACACACACACACACATATCTCTGGGATCCCAGGATTCCGGGGCCTTAGAGGCTATCAGTTGTAGCCCAGGTTGTGAGTGTGCTCTGCAAATCAGAGATCCAGGCTAGCTCACTCCTACTGCACCAGTCTCAAACCTGAGAGC